GTGAATCCAGCACTTTAAACACCATGCCACCTGCTGGCCCTGCAATGTAACTCGTACATGATTTAATTTTTCTTTTTCAGATATCAGTTTTTTTTCAACTTAAAAAAATAAAGCTTAGGGGCTGACTGGTGGCATGGTGGTTAGGGGTGCTGGACTCCCACATAGCCGACCATAGTTCGAGTCCTGGACCTGGTGGCTTACTTTCTCACTCTCCTTCTCTCTCTCACACACACACTCTGTCCCTCTCTGATCAAATTAAAATAAATAAAGTTAAATAAAATAAATCTTTAAAAAAATAAAAATAAAGCTTATAGAAATGTTACCAAAAACAGTGCAAATAATTCCCATTTACTTTTTAGCCAGATTCACCTAATTTTTTAAAAGTTTATTTTATTCTTGATAGCACACGCATAGAGACTTCTAAGCACCCTTTACAGGGACTCACTATGATCTCTTTTCCCCATTCCTCTAGCTTATCAGTATCTTGGGCACCCATGCATGAGCCTGGTATATTTTTAGGACAATCCAGGAATCAAACTCAGATAACCATTTGATTTCTACCACTGCAGTTCAGTTTGCTACCAATTGCACCATCATTCTTGGCCCTTCTGTCATTATCAATTTACTGTATTTGCTTTACATTGTGTTCTTACTCTCATACACACACACATACACACACACACACACACACACACATACACACACACGTTTTCCTTTATTCATGATAGAATGATTACACACATGCACATGAAGGTGAGAGAATGCAAGTGATGAGAACCCCACTAGGGTCTGAGTATGTTTTAATCTCCTTACTCCTTTTGTTTATGCCATCAGATCTTTTTTTTTTTTTTTTTTTTTTGAGAGGTTTTTGCTATAGGGCATGTGCGCTCGCCAGGAAGACAGAGAGAGACAGAGAGATAGAAAGCGAGAAATCACCCCCCAGGGGGGGATGGCCACGCCGCAATCTCTTCTCCTCCATTCTCCTCTCGGGATCTTGTGCATGCACGCACATGCGCCCGGCGTGAGTTTAAGCCACCGGGTCTGGGACTCGAACTGCGGCCGACAACGTAGGAATCCGGCAACATAGCCATTATGCCAATTGCTGGTCCCCATGCCATCAGATCTTGAACACATGCCTGACATGGGCTGGGGATTTGAACTGCGGTCACCATGAGACACACACACACACACACACACAAACACACACACACACTTTTCCCCCTTATGAACCATTTGAGAATAAGTTTTAAACATCATGCTCTTGGGGGACCAGCAGGTGGCATGGTGGTTGGGGTACTGGACATTCCCACATGGCTGACCATGGTTCAAGTCCTGGACCTGGTGGCTTACTTTCTCACTTTATCTCTCTCTCTTTCTGTGTCTCTCTCTGGTCAAAATAAGTAAATGAGGGAACCAGCAGTTAGCATAATGGCTATGTCGCTGGACTCCCACATAGTCGGCCACGGTTCGCATCCCGGACCCAGTGGCTGAGAACTCACGCCGGGTGGGTGTGCGTGTGTGCCCAAGATCCCGAGAGGAGAGTGGAGGCATGGCCATCCCCCCTGGGGGGTGATTTCTTGCTTTCTGTCTCTCTGTCTCTCTCTGTCTTCCTGGTGAACACATGCACCCTACCTATAGCAAAAACCTCTCCAAAAAAAAAAAAAAAAAGGAAGAAAAAAAATAAGTAAATGAATAAATAAAATTAAAAATAAATAATTCTTTAAATAAAACAACTATGCTCTTTTATGCCTAAATACGTATGTATTGCCTAAGCAGTTTTTTTTTCTTTTATGTATTTTTATTGCCTGAGAGCGCATGCACTCACCAGAGACAGGGAGAAAACCTCTCCAAATGGTGTGCTGTCATGCCACAACCCTTTTTCCTCTATTTATCCATCCCATCAACATTTGGGCATGAACACATATGCACCTGTTGTATTTTTCAAGCTACTGGAACCAGCATTCAAACCACATGGTTGACCGTGGGATCTGGCTCCTTGAACCACCAGGCCATGAGTCCAGCTCTTTTTCTTTACTTTTCTTAATTAAAAAAAAAAGGTTTTTTTAAGAAGTTTTTGCTATAGGGCGTGTGCGCTCGCCAGAGAGACAGAGAGACAAAAAGTGAGAAATTAACCCCGGGAGGGATGGCCATGCCACAATCCCTTTCTCCTCCATTCTCCTCTCGGGATCTTGGGCATGCACGCACACACGCCCAGCATGAGTTTAAGCCACTGAGTCTCGAACTCGAACCACGGTCAATCAACTACATGGGAGTCCAGCAACATAGTCGTTATGACAACTGCTCATCCCTAAAAAAATTTTTTTAAAGTTTTTTTTAAAAAAAATTTTATTTAACTTTATTTATTTAAAAAATTTGGCCAGAGAGAGACAGAGTAAGAGAAAGAAAGGAGGAAAGTGAGAAAGCAAGCCGCTGGGTTCAGGACTTGAACTGTGGCCAGCCATGTGGGAGTCCTGCATCTTTAAACACCACACCACCTGCTGGCTCCCAGCCCTTTTCTTTTGAAAAAACATATTGTTGGGGCCGGCCTGGTGGTTATGGGCACTGGACTCACACATGGCTGGCCGTGGTTTGAGTCCCAGACCTGGTGGCTTGCATTCTCATGTTCTCTCTCTCTCTCTCTCACTCACTCTCTGCTCAAAGTAAAATAAATGAAAATAAATAAAGTTAAATAAAATAATTTAAAAAACCCCAGGTTGTTAACATAGATAGAACTATAATTTACTTTCTCATATATTTTCACTAGATGGCATTGGAGAAGGATTTTATTGTTTGGTGCTGGATCAAAATGTTTTTGTCATCAGTATTTCTCTAGACCATGTCTTTTCTTTTTTTTTTTTTCTTTTTCTTTTTCTTTTTTTGGAGAGGTTTTTGCTTTAGGACACATGCACTCACCAGAAAGACAGAGAGAGATAGACAGACAGAAAGTGAGATATCACCCCCCCCAGGGGGAATGAGCACGCTGCAATCCCTTCTCCATTCTCCTCTCAGGATCTTGGACATGCACGCACACGCGTCTGGCGTGAGTTTAAGCCACCAGGTCCGGGACTCGAACTGCGGTCGACTACATAGAAGTCCAGCGACATAGCCATTATGCTAATTGCTGGTCCCTCTGGACCAATTCTTCTTGCCTCTTTTGCATTTTGTTCTTTTTGGCTCTCACCTGTAGTACCTGACACAACTAGAGCAAGAGTGAGAACTTACTGCCTTATCCTAGATAATGTTGCCATTCAGAGCCTGGGAATCTTTTTTCTGCTCCTGTCTTTTTTCTCCTTTGCTCTCTGTACTCATGGTTGTGTGTCAGGGCAGGTTGAGTTTCAGTAACCTTCTAAGGTAGATACTGGAAACCCCATTGGCCTGCCAAATCCTTCCGGCTGTCAGCAAATGGAGCCTTGGTATTTGTCATTCCTTTACAGCAGTTGAGCTGAAGGAATGTTGCATGGCTTGTTGGAAGTTGCTTAGTGGCCTTGAGTGGGGTGTGTATGTGGGTGTGTATAGAGAGACGAGGGTCTCACAGTTTGTGTGGGAGATAGCATTCCTTCCTGGTGCCATGTTGATTATCAGGCAGTGTTTACTGAGTCCCTCTTCATAAGAACTTTTGAAATGGAACCACAAAATACATGATTAAACCAGTGAAATAGCCAAACAATTCTAGCTTTGCCATTTACCAGCTTTCAATTGGGCAAGTTAATGCCCTTAAGCCTCACTTTGCTCTTCCGTAAAAGGGAATTATTAATACCTATGTGATAGGCCTTTTGTGAACATTAAATAATGTAAGTATAGTGTTTAGCACATTACTGACACTAATTAGGATTTCATTTCATAAAGTCATATTCAGGATATATGACTGATACCATATAAAACAAATGGAGAGTAATATAATAATATGACAGTATAGTGTATAATCAAATACTTTAATTATGACATGTAGATTATAAATAGTCTGGGAATTTAGAGAAGGGAAAGAACAGTCTTGTGCAAATATTCTGAGCCTCAGTTTTTCCACTGGACATGCCATGATAATAGTAAGTGATTTCTTAACATATGATTTAAGACACTAAAACATTTTTGCTTTTTTAGGTGGTGCTTATGATGGTTGGAAGGATGAGAGAATTTTGAATAACCATCAGAAACCAAATTTAATACTTAACATTCTTAATTTTTTTTCCTTTGTGTGGACATATCAGTCTTACAGGAAAACTTAAAGCTGGAGATAAGGAAAGGTGCTTGCTTTGGTATTACTCTCTGTGGCTTCACTGACTTTTTAATTACTTGAAAACTAAACGTGGTCAGGGGATGGCCTTGATAGTTACCCCCTCAATATAATCTGAGTATTAAGTGATTTGTAACCCAGATTGCCTCCCTGATTCCTTAGCAGAATTCAAACAAATGAACAAGGAAGGAGAAGGTTTAGTTCTCTTGGACTGGATGTTAAGGACATGTATTTTGCTTACCGTGAGTGTTTCTCTAGGGTGGGACATCTTTACATTAGCACTGAGTCCAGACTGCTAAATTGGCCCTCCCACCTTTATGCAAGTTTTCATAATCACATACATGGAAAACACCTTTTAAAAAGTGCTTAACTCAAAACATCCAAAAGAAACTTTGAATTCTTAGTTTGATGTGTGTTTGCCTGATAATTTGTTTTATTTTGATTTTGTTGTTGTTAGCTTTATTCTGGAAAGTTTGTATTGAGTTTTTATTTCTGTCCAGTTCAACTTTTTTCTTCTTTAAGAAAATTTCTGAAAAGTTTCCCATGAAAGTAAAGCTTGACACTTTTTTTTTTTTAATTTTTTGCCTCTTTAGTTTGATGTTTCCTTTCTGTTGTTAGAGTTTTATTTGTTTCTTTTTTGGCATAGTTTGCCAAAGTTTCAAGTTTATAGTGAGAGGAGAGGCAACGTTGATCTTGGCAGAACAGTGCAAAGCCAGTAGTCACTAAGTGACGCAAGCGTTTAATTTTTTTTTTTTTCTTTCTGTTAAAGCTTTCTGACACAGCTGGCTATTCTAGTACCAGAAGAAAAGAGAAGAGACTTTCTGAAGATCTGGATGGGACGATAGAAGTTGGGGCACATAAAAAGAGGCAGCAAGAATATCAACAGCAGGATAGTTTAAACAAACCTCTTGGTTTTGCGGGACCTTTGTTAGTTGCCTGAGTAACTTGAGTTTTTGCTTCAGAGGATGATGGGACAAGGAGAGTTATGTTGGATTCTTGCTTATCCATCTACCTCTCCTTCCAGTTGGAAAATTCTTCAGTTCACAAGAAGTATTATAAATAAGCTTGAAGAAGGTATCTTTCCCTGATCTTGGATGTTGTTGGATTCAAGGATCACATCTACTTCATCAGGACTTTATGGGAGCAGTTCAAGAAAAACAGAAGGAAGCAATACTTAAAGGATTTATCTGCCTTATTCTTGTGCCATGTTACATGTTGGGCATTGTTTGGAGCAAGTGACAGGCGGCTCTGTCATGTGGATCTAAGAGGCTACCTGAGTCCCTTGAGCTATATACACACACACACACACACACACACACACACACACATATATATATATAAAATGTTTGTAAAGTTGTAATCTCAAAGTCTTTGAATATAAATTCACTACATTCTGGATTCTATTTCTTCTGAGGACTTCAGCAGAAGGAAATTTCCCACCAAAAAGATACAGAATCTTCACTGTGTTTTTAGGTTAAATGTGAACAGTAATGTCTTGGAAGAGAAATTACTTTTCAGGGGGCCGTGGTAGTGTCCAAGGGATGTTTGCACCTCGGAGCTCAACCTCCATAGCCCCCAGCAAAGGCCTCAGCAATGAGCCAGGACAAAACAGCTGTTTCCTCAACAGTGCTCTGCAGGTAAGGGTAATTTCTTTCTTTTTGATGAACTTTGACTTTTAGTTGCTGACTGTATTTCTTACAACTCTTAAATATACTACTTGACAGTCTCTGAGTCAGTAACCTGAGATGAGTTTATAAAGTTTATCTCTGGAATCTTTGGGAGGTCACTTTATCTGTGGATGATCTCGTTTGTAAAAACGGAGAGAAATAATGATAATAGAAGTCATAAAACTATAATAGCTATTATTTACCTGACTAAAGAGAAGTACATAGACCAGGTGATATTTCTACCTGTTTATCAACTTTTTTCTTGAGCACTGTCTATGGGTTTTTAATTTTCCTCTGAGACTAAGGTATCTTATCACTCTAGTCGCTTTTTTCTAATATGGAAAGCAAAATTCTTTCCACAAGTCAAGGACTTTCTGTTTTGCTGTACTTGTCTCATATTATTCAGGCTCTTAGCCCACACTTCAAATGGAGTCCAGTGTTTGTCCAATTCTTCATTTCTTCCATCTGAGCTTTCATGTATTGGGTTTTGATTGGTGTCTAGTCAGACATGAACAGAGTTAATGTAAATTTTCCTAAGATGATCCTAGCCAGGCCTGTGGTGTGTTAGGGTCATCCCTTTTGGCCTGTCAAGGAATTGCTTTCCTTTCTTTTTTGCTTTTTAGAGTAAAAGTAAATGACATTTGCCACACAAGAAATTATACTTTGGTAAAATATTAGCTTGACTTTCTAGATGAAGTTATAAAAATGGGTCGTTATAAGACAAGAAAAGATAATACATTATCTTGTATTTAGTATAGAACACTAAACTAGAGAATTGGGAGACTTGGATTCTAGTTTCAGCTTGTCTACAGACTAGCATTATGGCCTTGTCCAGGTAATAGTGTCCGAGTTTCCTCATTCATAATACAAGAATCTTGCCAAGCTTATCTATGTCATAAAAGTTTTACATTTTCTTTCAATTTTTAAGTTTTTATTTGAAAACAAGAAAATAGCCTAGGGCCGGCAGGTGGTGTGGTGGTTAAAGGCGCTGGACTCCCACATGGCCGACTGTGGTTCAAGTCCTGAATCTGGTGGCTTGCTTTCTCACTTTCCCTCTCTCTCTCTGTGTCTGTATGATCAAACTGGAAAGTAACAATAATAATAAATAAAGTTAAAATAAAATAATTATTTAAAAAAAAAAAAGAAAATAGCCTGTGCTTTCAGGCTTATAAAAAGAGTTAAGTACTTTCCCTAATTACTACCACAAATTTTATGCAGTTGGGTAGGTTGGTTAGATTTTCTTTTCCTAGATAATGCCCCTTAGGTTTTTTTCTTAAGAGGACTTCATTTCTCCTTCCTTTAAAAGAAAGAAAGAAAGAAAGAAGGCTTACTCATTTATTTCTTCTATGAGTAGGAGGCAGAGAGTGAGAGTAAAGTACCCCAGCAGAGTCTTCACATCATCAAGACTCCAGTCCCAGCCCATTTGAATTATGAGTACTCATATGCAGCACACTCTGGGAGGTCCGGGGATCTGAACCCTGGACCCATGTGAGTCCAGCCGCATTATTGATGTGCTGCTGCCTAGCCTTCTATTAAATTTTTGAGTGACTATATACTAATAATGCTTTTCATAATTTATAAGCAGGCGAAGTAAGACACTAATAAGAATGTATATGTCAGGACCAGCAGTTGGCATAATGGCTATATTGCTGGACTCCCATATAGTCGACTACGGTTTGAATCCCGGACCTGGCGGCTTAAACTCATGCCGGGCATGTGCGCGGGTGTGCCCAGATCCCGAGAGGAAAATGGAGGAGGCAGGGTTGCGGCCTGGCCATCCCCCCAGGGGGTGATTTCTCGCTTTCTGTCTCTCTGTCTTTCTGTCTTTCTGGCTAGCGCATATGCCCTATAGCAAAAACCTCTAAAAAAAAAAAAAGAAAGAAAGAAAGAAAGAAAGAAAGAAAGAAATGTGTTACCTCCTTCCTGGCTATACTTCTATTTTTATAATTCTGTTTAGTTGCAACAATACTCCTTTTACCTTCTATTCTAATTTCCAGTGCCATGTAGTACACATACTATATACCCATACATATATATTTCTGTATCTATGCTTAAAGATAGAGGCATTGATGGTTTTGGGGTCCCTGTTATAGTCGTGTTACAAGTGGAAAATAATTGTTGCTATGTGCTAATATTCTTACTTTTGCAATGAAAGCTGTGTTCGCCCCAGATGTGTTGAACCTAGTCTGTGTTTATTATAAAAAGATGTTATTTACTTGGGAGCAAGGCATGTTTCAAAGAACTTTTAGAGTATATGTCTTGAGACATGTAAGAAGAAGCTTCAGCAGTGTACTGTGATCTAGGGTTCTAGAAGTAGTGCTTTTTCATATTATGCCGTTAAATGTTTTGTTGTCAAGGGACTTCCTAAAGCATTATGCTTTACATTATGTTATTTCTTTCTTAACTAAAATTTAGATTTCCTTAGTTTTTAGTTAGTGTCTTTTTCTGTTTCAGGATCTCATTCCAGGATATCATATTTTTAAGTCTTCTTTAGACTTCTCTTGATTGTGACAGTTTCAGAATTTCCTTGTTTATAATGACTTGAAAAGTTTTTTAATTAATTATTTTATTTTATTAATTATTATTTTGCTGTAGGGCATGTCCATTCACAAGAGAGAGAGAAAAAGAGAGAGAAAGGGCGGAGAGAGAGAGAGAGAGAGAGAGAGAGAGAGAGAGAGAAAGCTACTTGGTTCAGGACTTGAATTTCGGTTAGTAATGTGGGAATCTAGCACCTTAACCACCGTGCCACCTGCTGGCCCCAACTTGAAAAGTTTTGAGCAGTAATGATTAGATATTTTGTACGTTGCCCCTCTACTGGAATTTACTTTTATTGTGATTAGACTGATGTTAGGAGTTTTGGTGACTAAGACCACAGAAGTAAAGTGCCATTCTCATCACATTGCATCAAGGGTACAAACTGAATGTGATTTCTCTCTGTTAATATCACTATTCTTTTTTTATTCTGTTAACTGAAGGAGGTGACACTTCTCTCAGAAAAATAGAAAATTCTAACACAGACAAAATTCTATACTATGAATCAAGCTTCTATTAGTTTTTAAATATTCTTGCTTTTCTTGCATGGACCATTAAAATAATAAAATAATTTTACCCTATAGCAAAAACCTCTCAAAATAATTTTAAAAAGACCAAAAAAAAAAAAAACCAATAAAATGAGAGTTCCTTAGAGAGTAATGAAGCATTTTCCTTTTCTTTGGCCAGGTTTTGTGGCACTTGGATATCTTCCGACGTAGCTTTAGGCAGCTCACAACTCACAAGTGCATGGGAGATTCCTGCATCTTTTGTGCTCTCAAGGTAAGTACTTCACATTTATTTCTTATTAAAACTAGGTTGCCAAATTGCCATCTTGAGGGGGTTTGATTAATCATCATTATGTTAAAGAATTTGTTACTGAATAATCCGCCTGTGATTTAGTGCAAAAATGGGTGTGATTAGTTTTGTGTGCATCAAAGAATTACTACAGGAGTCAGGTAGTCTCTTTCTGAACCTTTTTACTCCTTATAGTTCTTTTTGATGTGAGAGGATACTATTCAGTTGTGCTTCTATTTTGAGTATTTATCTGAAAAGCTATTTTAAATTTTCATTTTAAAAGAATAAACAACTAAATTTTTCAGTGGAATTAACAACTTTTTTAAAAAAGGAATTATTTATTCATTCATTTTAATTTTACCAGAGAGAGATACAGAGAGAGAAAGAGAGGGGAAGGGAGAAAGCAAGCCACTAGGTCCGGGACTCAAACCATGGTTGGCCGTGTGGGAGTATTCAATGCCTTAAGCAATATGTCACCAGTTGGTCCCAGAATTAACAATTTGTTAAAACTAAGGGGAAAGGAAGGCAGCAGATGGCATGGTGGATAAGGAGCTGGATACTTTCACATGGTTGACCATAGTTTGAGTCCTGGATCTGGAGGTTTGCTTTCTCATTTTCTTTCTGTGTTTGTGTGTGTGTCTTTCTGGTCAAATTAAAATAAATGAATGAATAAATAAAATTAAATAAATAGTTATTAAAAAAAACCCTAAGTTTAGCAACAAACTCTTCATACATATTGGTATATTGAAAAATGTCAATATTGGGATCAGCAGTTGGCTTAATGGCTATGTCGCTGGACTCCCATGTAGTTGACTGCAGTTTGAGTCCCAGTCCCAATGGCTTAAACTCATGCCGGGCACGTGTGTGTGTGTGCCCAAGATCCTGAGAGGAGAATGGAGGAGAAGGGATTGTAGTGTGGCCATCCCTGCCAGGGGTGATTTCTCGCTTTCTTTTTCTCTTTCTGGTGGGTGCACACGCCCTATAGCAAAAACTTCTCCAAAAAGAAAAAGAAAGAAAGAAAATGTCGATACTAAATTTTCCCATTCCATAATGTTTCACATTACCACAATGAGTATTTTTTTTTTTTAAGAGATTTTTGCCTTAGGGAGCATCCACTTACTGGAGAGAGACAGAGACATTGAGAAAGTGAGAAATTATACCCGAGGGGGATGGCCATGCAGCAATTTCTTCTCTTGTTCTCCTCCTGGGATCTTGGGTGCATACACACATGCGCCTGATGTCATTTTCAAGCATCAGGTCCAAGACTTCAGTCATGGTCGGCCATGTGGGAATCCAGTAACATAACTGCTACCACATCTGCTGGCCCTAATGAATAGTTCTTTATACTAGTTCTTTATTCCATGCATTGTCTGGCTCCAAGTTCTTCTTTTCTGAATAAAAAGAAACTGAGGGTTCATTTAGAGACAAAGAAAACGGCCTAAAATGGTCTGAAGTGAGAGATTTCTGAATCAAAGATTTTAGGTATGCTGTTAAAGAACTGATGTGTAGGGACCAGTGGTTGGCGTTATGGCTGTGTCGCTGGACTCCCATGTAGTCGACCTGGACCCGGTGGTTTAAACTCACGCTGGGCGCGTGTGCGTGCCTGCCCAGGATCCCTAGAGGAGAGTGGAGGAGAAGGGATTGCGGCGTAGCCATTCCCCCCTGGGGGGTGATTTCTCGCGTTCTGTCTCTCTGTCTCTCTCTGTCTTTCTGGCAAGTACACGTTCCCTATGGCAAAAACCTTTCCAAAAAAAAAAAAAAAACCCATGTGTAAAGGGCCATTTGTTTGTTACTTCATTTGTTTTCTAACATATAGCTCCCCTGTTTTCTTGGTCCAAGATTTCAGTCATGCATGCATATGCACTGCCAGGAAGAGATTGGAAGAGAAGGGATTGTGTTTAGGGATGATTTATCACTTTTCCTCTTTCTGTGTCACTGGCAAGAACCAGTGCCCTATAGCAAAAATGAAAACAGAAAAAGAGAAAGTAGACTTTTCAATAATGGTTCTTAGAAAGTTGGTTATACATTTGGGGGAAAGTAAAGGAAATTAGATCCCTACTTAAAATTATACCAGAAATAGGGGCCAGCAGGTGGCATGGCATGGTGGTTAAAGACACTGGACTCCTACATGGCCGACTGTGATTTGTGTCCCAGACCTGGCAGCTTGCTTTCTCACTTTCTTTTTCTCTCACTCTGTCCTTCACTGGTCAAATTAAAATAAATAAATAAATAAAGTTAAATAAGATGATTCTTAAAAAAAATTATACCAAAAATAAGAACTTCTGGGACCAGCAGTTGGCATAATGGCTAGACTCCCTTGTAGTCTACCATGGTTCAAGTTCCAGACCCAATGGCTTAAACTCACGCCGGGCGTGTGTGCAAGTGTGCCTAAAATCCCAAGAGGAGAATGGAGGAGAAGGGATTGTGGTGTGACCATCCCCCCTGGGGAGTGATTTCTCGCTTTCTGTCTCTCTGTCTCTCTCTTTCTGATGAGCACATGCACTCTATAGCAAAAACCTCTCAAAAAAATAAAAGAAGAACTTCTGATGAATTAAAGTCTATAACATGAAAGACCAATTTTTTTTAAGTTTTAGAAGAAATTATGAGACTATCAGGACCTCCAGGATAGGGAAGGATTTTTAAAAAATTATTTACTTAATGATTTTATTATTATTATTATTATTCAATTTGACCAGAGAGAGATAGAGGGAGAAAGAGGGAGAGTGAGAAAGCAAGCTGCCTGGTCCAGGACTTGAACTGCTGTTGGCCATGTGAGAGTCCAGTGCCTTAATCACCGGACTATCTGCTGGCCCCAGATTTTTTTTTTTAAAGAAATTTTTGCTATAGGGCATATGTGCTTGCCAGAGAGGCAGAAAGAGATGGAGAGACAGACAGACAGAAAGTGAGAAAGCACACCCCAAGGGGGATGGCCATACCACAATTCATTCTCCTCCATTCTCCTCTCAGAATTTTGGGCATACACGCACATGCACCCAGCATGAGTTTTAAGCCGCTGGAACCAGGATTCAAACCATGTTTGACTACGAGGGAGTCCAGAGATGTAACTATTACACCATCTGCTGGTCCCAGGAAGGATTTAGTAATAAAATACGAAAAGTACAAAGTTAGATCACTGATACATTTTACTACTGAAAATTCAAAAACTTCTGTTCATCAAAAACTCCATTAAGAGAGTAAAGATTGTGTAATAGTTACATTGCTGGACTACCATGTTGTCTGCAGTTCGAGTCCAGGATTGGTGGCTAAAACTCACGCTGGCACATGTGCGTGCCTTCCTAAGATCCCAAGAGGAGAATGGAGGAGAAGGGATTGCAGTGTGGCCAACCCCCAGAGGGATGATTTCTTGCTTTCTGTCTCTGTGTCTCTGTCTTTCTGGCTAGCACACGCACTCTATAGCAAAAATCTCTTAAAAAAAAGAGAGAGAGTAAAAATTGCTTCTCAGCCTTTGGTTAAGACCCAAGTGTGGAGGGTAAAGAAATAAAGCTACAGACTGGGAGGGATTATCTGCATTTATAGTACATAAAAAACAAAGGATCTGTATCTACCATAGATTATAGAATATATATATTGTGGGGTTCTGTTTTATATATAAATATGTTTGATCATATATATATATATATCAGTCATACATATTAATATATACATAAATGACTTTTTATTTATAAATTATATGTAAAGAATAAGTAAAATATAAATGCGTCAGCAGAAAAATGGCAGAGATACAAACAGGCATTTCTCAGAACAGAAAACCTAAATGACCCTTATATGTATTTAAGATGCTTATTCTCATTAGTAATCTCAGAAATGTACATCAAGCCATACCCTTCATATTGGTAGAAATGTGTAAATCTGATAAAATTGTTACCAAAAAGGTGGAATGATGAGAACTTACATACATTGCTGGCTGGAATATGAATTGATACCACTACTTAAGAAAAGTTTGTCATTACTCATCAAATCTACCATCCAGCCATTCCAATCCTCAATATACATTGTGGAAAACTTGGGGCTGGCAGGTGGCATAGTGGTTAAGAGTGCCGGACTCCCATATGGCCGATTGCGGTTCAAGTCCCGGACCTGGCAACTTGCTTTTTCACTTTCCCTCTCCCTCTCTCTCTCTCTCATTCTGTCCCTCTGCTGTCAAATTTAAATAAATAAATTAATTAATTAAATGAAATAATTCTTTTTTTTTTTTTTTGAGAGGTTTTGCTATAGGGCACGTGCGCTCGCCAGACAGACAGAGAGAGACAGAGAGACAGAAAGCGAGAAATCACCCCCCAGGGGGGATGGCCACGCCGCAATCCCTTCTCCATTCTCCTCTCAGGATCTTGGGCATGCACGCACACGCGCCTGCCGTGAGTTTTAAACCACCAGATCCGGGACGTGAACCACGGTCAACTACGTGGGAGTTCAGCGACATAGCCATTACACTAACTGCTGGTCCCGAAATAATTCTTTTTTTAAAAAAAGAAAGCTTAACGTAACCAGAGATATATTTGAGAATGTTCAAAGTACTATTTTTCGTGATTACAGAAAATGGAAACAACTTACCTCAACTGAGTAAAATGGATTTAAAAGTTTGATTTATTCTTATAATAGAGTACTATATAGTAGTCAAAATGAATGACCTGCAGCCATGTAGATTAACTTGGACTAGTCTCAGACTTCTCACATTAAATGAAAAAAGCAAGTTAGAGAAGATTAAACCTTGATTCCAACTGATAAATCAAAAACAGGCAAAATTAAACGTATTGTTTAGGGGTATATGGTTATAATTAAACTGAACGGAAGAAGGGAATGATTGAACGTGTAGCCTAGTGGTTAAGATAGCCAGATACCACATGGGTAGCCATGGTTCAAATCCTGGCCCTGGCTTTAAAAACATGCCAAGCTGTGACCAGCAGATGGCATAATGGTTACTTCGCTGAACTCCCATGTAGTCGACCACAGTTTGCGTCCTGGAC